CTCAAATGTGGTTGCAACACATGGATCGTCCGATCCATGGATTGACTCTGGAGTCACGAGAACAAATGGGCCTGGCTATCGAGTTCTTATTGCGAACTGTGCAGACTGTGGGCGGTCTGGCGATCTTGCGACACCAAGACCAACGGATTCAGAAGCATTACAATTACAGAGAGATGAATTGGCCTTATTGTTGGATACTTGGATGACAAGTGAACGCGTCTCCTATACATTTGTCCTCGGCGGCAGCTTTATCAGCCGGGCCTTGCTGGAGAAGGAGAAATTGATGAAAGCCATTCAGAGCGATCTTCATGATTTTTTTGATCACAGTGCTGAAATCCATGCCTTTGAATTTGATAGTACCAGTGAAAAACTGACGATTAACTTTGTTTTCTATGCAAATCGTATGAATAAAGAGCATATATCTTCTTTCTCACGCAATATACGGAATAATTCCTCTTTTCTCTTGGCTACAAAAAAAACACTTTCTAATTTTGGGGTTGAAGATGAGGCTTTGGTTATTGCTTTTGAACGGATTTCAACACCAATTATTGATGAAAATCCGATGAATGAAAATGAAGTGATATACCTTTTGCGCTATATGGGATTTTTTTTACTGTTTCTAATTTCATGTGCTGTGATTGCATGTAAATACCGCAATCAGAAAAACAAAAACAAAAACAAAAAACAATTCTTATTCCATAATGTAAAGGTATAGCATATGTGTTTTCTTTTTATTGAAAATGTGCTCTGTGGCAAAATGGACATGTGTCCCAGTCAATTTATTCTTAGGAACTTATAATGGCGATATCGAGCGGTAGGAATTAGTGATGCTTTCATTTTTCATTTTTTTTTTTTTTCTTGGTTTTTAAAAAGGCATATCTAGGAGCTGGTAAAGACTTGATGATGGCCCTTTTGGTGAGAATGACCTCCACTCAGGACGGATTGCGCCTTGGATGATGTTGATTTGGCTTGGCCTTTTTCAGAGGCATTCTGTGTGGCCAGATTTGAAGAAGTTAGCTCTTGCTCTCATAATTTCTATAGCAAATTTTGGAGGAAATTATTTTTTTTTGCCTTTATTTTTTCGATGTGAGCTGCGAAAACCACTAGTTTAATTTTTGATGGGATTTTGAGGATACATACATATACGTAATTGAAGGGAATTGCTGATTTTCTCATTATTATTATTATTATTATTATTATTATTATTATTATTATTATTATTATTATTATTATTATTATTATTATTATTATTATTATTATTATTATTATTTTCTTCATATATATATATATATATATATTGGTAACGGTTGTAGTTATGCTTATTTTATTTTAATTTCACTTTCTACTCAAATGGATATGCATATTTCTGTGTGTCTTTTTGTAAATGAATGAGGATAAATCATCGTAGGACCATTTAAATTACTTTTTCTATTGTTAATAACAACGAAATCCTTCAATAACTTACATGATGTGCTTACATTGGATTTTATATTTCACGGCACTGATGAAAACTTTACTGATAATTATGAGCTGATTGCTGGGCTGAGCCGTGTATTAATTTTTTTTTTTTTTTTTTACATTTTCGTTTCTACCTTTTACTATTGGTTGTTTAATTACGAGTGTAGACTGCTTGTTAGCGTTCCTTTACAATGGAGCAGCCTGAGCATGTGTTGTATCCGAGTGAGGAGATGATGGTGCGCTTAATAGAGGAGCAACTTTGGTGTGGCTACGAAGGCATTGAATCATCGGTTGGACTTCATTTGGATGACGAAAATGCCACGTATTTGCGTGAATCTTTGTTTCCCACTCTCATTCCGGCACTTCACGATTTAGTTAGGCGTGAACAGCGTCGAATATCAGAACCAGTGGCATTTCAAGAGCGATTCCAAGCAACAGGAAACACCCATCCGGTGACATGGCTAGCACAGTACCTTCTTCGTAACAATACACATCACAGCACTAATCTTCGCAATCATCCATATGTGTTGGTTAACAATGAGGTGCTTAGAAAGCAAAAGGAAACTATAAAAGTAAGGGACTTTCGGGATATTTAGTCTGTCTACAATAGATGTTTTTTTTTTAAACTGCACGACTGTGGACATACTTTGCTGGTTTTCAAAAGGAGGAGGTAAAAAAAAAAAAAAAAAAAGTGGAGAGAAGCAGTTGCTTTTGCGGAAAATGTGGTGTGTATGTACGCATTTGTCATATATTTTTGCGACGTAAATTCTGAGCAGTCAAATAAAAAAGAATACGTGTGAAAAAAACAAAAAACAACATGAATGCGTGAGGATCGATCTTTACACGTGATGCCAGCTTTTATTTTTACCAATGTATATGAAATTTTGACAGGAAGAAAAAAGACGGGCATTGCGTTTCAGTTTTGAAGGTTATTGTTTTTCACCTTTTCTTTATCCATTTTGCTTGGTAGTTGGAAAGGTCTTTATGGAGCTGGACTTGGATGCGGTATCACAGGTACTGGAGAGGTTTTTGGGCACGTCCTCTTCTCAACGGGGTTCTCTGCCAGCTTCAAAAGTGAAGGCAAGTAAACGCACACCCTCCCAGCCTCACGGTGGGCCTCACGGAGATTCTTTCCACAGGGACGATGAAAAACGGGAGCTAAAGGCGGGCACAGAGACGAATCAGGAAAATATTATTGAGAAGGATTGCGGGACACAAGAAATGTTGTTTTTGCCACAAGAGAAAAAACAAAGACAAAAACAACAGGAGCAACACCGCAAACACCATAAACCTTCCACGAATTTTATTATTTCCTCTAATCAAGTTCTCTGCAGGGTTGTTGAAGCAAGTGGTCTTGGTGCCTCTGCTGTTTTGCTTAGTACTGCCACCACTGGCAAAAGTCGAGAGAACAGAGTTTGGACGAGCAACCTCAACCAAAATCCACATCCTTTTGTTGTCTTGAATTCATTATCCAAGAACTATTTACGTAAGGAAATTCTTTCTCACGTGACGCCAACGACGAATTCTACAGCCACTCGTATCGAGCGTGTAAGGGATATTGCATTATCCATTGTATTTGACGTTGTCGTTGATGCCGCGGGAGAAGCAGAGTCACCGATTGAGCGCCTTGTCGTATCGTGCTCTAACCACCCACGCACAGGCTACGTTAGCGTCCTTCGTGTGAAGAAAATTGAAGGATTTTTCATTCGTGCGGTGATTCCAGGCTCTTTAATGGGACCGTTTATGAAATTGACATTGTTTCCCAGAGATGCAATTCGAGTAAAAGTTTTGCGTGTGAGAGCGATAGAATTGGCCTTTGCAGATAGTTGGACAGAGCGTCGTATTATTGAGGAACCCCTCAGTTTCTTGTCCGAAGAAGAAAACGAGGAAGAAGCGAGGCCTATGGATCCCATATCATTTCCACAGGAGGTACATGAGAGAGAAAAAGTGGGGGAAGATTATCCCGGTAGCGTTCCAACACCACAGTCAGTGAAGGACCTGGTGGAAATGGTGGAATCTTCGTTGGCATCTTCTACGGTTCCTATTTCTCCCGTTGAGACTATACTGGGAGATGGCGAAAGTGTTTTGGATGCATATGATTTGCAGAAACAGTTTGAACGCACGAAATCGGTGAAATTAGCTCCTGTATTGCAAGCGACAAAGGAAAAAGCGGGGGCAAGCGAAATGCAGCCTCAGAATGGGGCTCGAGGGGCATCCAACATGGCTCCAATTAAATCTTCTGATTTCAAAGCAATGGAGTCTCGTGTTGGCAGTGTAAAAGGAGGCAATGGAATACTCCCCGTGGCGAGTAATACTTTTCTGGCGCACGATTTGGGTCTTACACGTCGTAATAAAAATTCTGAAGAACGTCAAACAGCGCCCCATTTCGTTTCAATCGGCGAAGGTGACTGTACCGCATCGAAAGCACATTGTACTGAAACTGAAATTGGCAGGAAACATATGTCGAAGGCTTTGATTGCGTGGAGTATTAAGCGACGGCTTCTCCAGGACAAAAAGATCATGAGTTCCCTACAAGCGGAAAGGGATACTCCATATGATGTGGCTTCTTTTGATTTTGTCGGCCAGCAGGAGATACGAGGGACTCATAAAATCAAATTCGACAGCCAAAGCCATGGTGTCTGTGGATCACAGGAGTCTGTGCAGGCGCATTGCACGTGGGATGCAGTAATTCACCGGAGCCGTCAGGATGCACTGTGGGAATTAATGACAAATTCAAAAACGTTTATTGTGACAATTGCGCGTACATCCGATGAGGTTTTTGCCTCCCTTTCTCAGTCCTGTGCTTTACAGATGCTTTTCATATTGTTTTGTGAAGCCCAAGGTCCAGCATCTTCGTCAGTTGATTGCTTTAACCTCATGATAACAATTGCTCACGCCGAACGTCGACGCGGTCGTGAGACAGAACTTATGTTTCGAATGAAGGATGGGTTTGCCTGCTTGTTGCATCCGCACCGCGATTCGGATATGAAAAGGCAATGGTTAATGGTTTCTGTGCAGAATCACCCAGATTCTGTGAACGATTGGCTGTTAGAATCACTACATCTTTATGAAAAAAATGGAGGCTTACAGAAGTTTCAGGAACTACGGTCCGAGAATTCCATTACGCCATTTAACGCCACAGAGGGACGGATTCACTTGTGCGAAACAGCAGTGCTGCATTCTGTTGTTGATTTTGCATGTCTGTTTGAATTCTTGTTGCCTACACTGAGGGCTTGGCTGACCGTATGTGACCTCCGCTACTATGGTGATATACATCCTCTTTTGCACCCCTTTATCGATGAATGTGGTGTCATCCACCCCACGAATTGGTTTCAATGTGTCGTGCATGGGACAGTGCGGTCCGTGCTGTTGTCTTTGCCGAACGCGGAGTGTGGTGCAACAAATTGTGACGATACGCGTGGGATGCTGTCCACGGCGCGGAGAAGACTTGCATGTATAACGCTTCGTAGACATGTGTTTTTTTCGGCGGTTTGGCAGCCAAATCTTCACGCCGTGAAGGTTGTGCTATCAAATGAACATGTGCTTCATCACATAGAGTTGCTAGACGGTGTGTTGCTGGATCGCCGTGGCTTGGCGGTGACTGAATTTCTTTCGCCTGACTCGCTAAGAAAAATAGAACTTCTTGACGAGGACAGCACCCAGAATAGATGCAGATTGTCACGTGGCACATGTGCCACCGCTGGAGGTTCGGTGGCGGCCGCGGCGGGATTCTCTGGCAACACCGACACAACCAGTTCCCTAGCTTTTCAGGTTTTGAGTACCGCCCTTCAGCGATCGTGGGTGGTGGTGGGAATGGCGCTTTCTTTGAGGATATCGTTTGACGAAGATGCATTCATGGACACGGTGCTTCGCTGGGCGTATGCCTCACCCCGGACCATTGTTCTGTTCTACATGGACTACCCACCTGGACAGGAGCCATCAATTCATCTTTCCACGGGGTTTCTTGAGGCCTTTGCCCCCGTGACTGGACTGAAGAACGCAATAGAGGCTGTTTCCGCTAACCCATAGAAAAGAGCGAAAATGTAAAGCTAAGGGTCGTGGATGGAACACGGGCATCTTTTGGCAAAGATTTATCCATCCATCTGTGTGTTTTTGGGATTCACTTTTCTTCTTGACTTACAGCGTCTTCATCTGTACCAATATATATATATATATATATATATATATATGGGCGCTTTTTTTCTCTCTCTTTTTGTACATATAATATCTCTTTTTTGTTGTTTTTGTGATGCAGTGGCAATAGAAATTTTGATCTATCTCCTGCACTAGTGCATGCTGTGTCTTTTCTGGTGGTGGTGGTGGTGGTGGTGAGTGGTATGTCAATATGAGAAATGAACGGGAAGTTAAATAATTCACCCGTAAATTACATTCTTATGCCCATTGTTTTTTTTTTTTTTTTTTTTTTTTGTACTACTTGCTATTTTTTTCTTTTTGCCTTTTGTAAAGTGTGATTCCTCTATTTTTTTTTTCAATCAGATAAGCTATTCTTACAATAATAATAATAATAATAATAATAATAATAATAATAATAATACTAATAAAAGAGGCGACGGAAATAACGGCGAGTTAAAGGGGCTGAGCAGCGAAGGGTAGTAAAATTGCTGGCTCACGCAATAGGAGTTCCATCTATACACATAATTATAAGAGAGGGAGAAGAAGATTGAACCCCTTTGAGCTTGCTTAATTATTATTTACTGACGTCTTTCTTTTCATTGCTTCTACGTAACGTGGAGGAAGATGGACCGGGCACACATTCTACGCCTCCTCGAAAACTTGAGGTCCGCAGACAATACCTTGCGCAAATCGGCAGAGGCGGAGTATGAGTCAATTATTCAGGGAAACAGTGTGTGGATGATGTGCAATCTGTCGGAGCTATGTGCCGTCACGGACAGCGCACCAACCATGCAGATGGGTCTGGTTTTGCTGAAAAAGCTCTTCAGCAGCAAGCACAACTGTTTTGACGTCTCAGATGCACAGACGCAACAGGCCGTGAAAGGATTGATGTCGCAGGTGCTCGGGAAGGCGGCTTTTGGCCCACAGCGGGGTTTGGCCGCAGCATGCGTGAGCGCCCTCGTCGTCAAGATGCATGCACTAGGTCAGGAATGGGGGGAACTTTGGCAGAGCGTGTTTCAGATTCTTGAAAACGCGGAATCTGATCATCAGCTCAAGACTATTTGCTGCGAGATCATCGCCACGACTGGTCCTTCCATGGCGAGCTACTTTGAGTCCCATACCGGCAGGTTGGTGACTGGAATTAAAAATTGTCTGGCAGATCCTTCTGTAGAGGCAAGAAGGAGCGCTTTTGATGCCCTTGTCAATGTTGCCATGTGCAGATCCATACCAGATTTTGCCCAATTGGTTCCCTTGATGCTACAAGTTGTACAGGACTCTCTCAATGCATCCAACTGGGACGATGCGGAGCAGTTGACTGGAAAACTCGCCGATGGTGTCGCACATGCCCCTGGACTTTTTGCGGGTCACACATCAGCGGTTCTGCATGGATTGATGGAAGTGGCGTCAGCGCCGTCAGTCG